ATACTGGTAGGCTCACCCACATCTCACCTTCAGCCCAGAATAACCTGAAGATGAATTTGGCGCACTTTTTTGGGTGTTCTTACCGTTTCTTCTTTGTGTTCGTGGATGTTCTTTGGGTGTTCGTGGATGCTCGTAGGTGTTCATTCAAAATGTATGCTTAAAAAGCGAAACTATAAAAACTTTTTTGGGTGTTCGTTAGGCGTTGCTATACTCAGCTCGACGAGCTCTATCGATTGGCTAACTCAAATTTTAATTTGGGGGTGTTCGCGTCTTTTAGCAATACCCGTTTTTTTACCAGTTTACACAAGACACTTCGGAATATAATTTATAATTTAATTAGACAAAAAAAGATTTTAAATTTTTTTTCGAGTGTTTTGCCTCATTTTTAAAATCTCAATAAAAACTTTATGATATATACTTCGAAGTGTCTTCTACAAACGGGAAAAGTATGAGAAAAAGGTAAATCGAACGCTCGTGAAGAAGTGTCACAAGATTAGAAAACGAAAATTAGTTTTTCGACAAAAATGAGAAACGTTTAGAAAGTATCTATATGATGGCTATACCTTTTTTGAGATTTTTATTAAATACCTTTGTTTTCAGAAAGTAGGGGAATTACTGAAAACTACTGATTTTTGTTAAAAATATTGATTTTATCTGGATCTCCTACTTTTCTATCTAAACTGTAAATCAACTTATTTAGCCGACTAAAAGAAGTGGTCTCAGTGAAATTTCTTGATCTTGATGATTGTTCAATTACGGCTTTGCTCTGCACTCTTGTTTACATATCAATGAGAAAACTTTGTGCTCTTAGAACATTGATTGTCAAACGTGAATCATCTAGCATCTTTAAAATATGTTAACATTTAGAAATAACAAATACAAATCGTTGTAGAATAATTCAAAAAATAAAATCGGAATTAAAATCACCCGAAGATTTTCAATGGTTGCGTATTCTACATTTTTTATCCTTAACAAGACAAAGACAAATTCGAACGTTATATACATTATCATCAATAATTTTCACAAATTTATCGCAAACCTTGACAGAAATTGAAATATACGAGTATCGATCTCTATTGCCAAATTCACAGATGAGTTTAGCTCTCATCGGTTTAATCATTGCATGTTTAACAGCAAGAGAAAAACCACTGAAAACTCTTCGTCTACATGCACCAAAGAGTCATTTTCTAACAAGTCTATTTGAACAATTAAAATCACAATTTAAATACCATTCAAAAACGACGGTGACAACAGAAAATTATCCTAACTTTGGTAAGCATTGTACCATACTCTGATCTTAATAAATCCATAATGATCTCTTGAAAAAGTCATTTAGACTATTTGCTTTAGATTTCACAATTCAGCCTCGTTTAGAATGTTTACAATTATGTTCACTTGATCGTTCATGTCGAAAAATATTTGTTAAAAACTATTTCTTTCTATGTTCTTTTGTGAAAATTTTTCGATTTGAACATTGTTGGGATTCTGATAATGAACTGGAAACATTTGAACTCATTCAACATGAAAAATTAAAACATTTAGAATTGACCGGGATAAAATTAGACAATGGGCCATTATATTATTTAAATGGAGCATTGAAACTCGAACCACAATCGACATTATCAGCTGCGAAACCAATGGATTGTTTAGCGTTTGAATTTACGTATGATTCGATTTCAGGTACCGGTGACGTTATCGATCAACAACTATTTGATTCAATCAGATACCATAGAGGGATAAGATCGATTCGTCTGCATATGCCATGGAATATCACATACACATCATCAATTAAATATCGATCACGGTCATTAACAGCGCTACGAAGAATACCAGCAGGTAAGGCTCTGTACTCTATTTTAACTTATTAGCAGGATTATTTGTCAACTCGATAGGTCATGATTTCTATTGAACTATCTTGATAGGAACAAAGAGTCTCGACTATGTTTTACTTGCTATTTCGGCTCAGAAAATCCAAAACGCCAAGACTAATTTGTTTAAATCAATCGCTATTTAGGTTGGATTTCTCATCGAAGTTTATCACAATCAACACTCCAAATAACACACGATTTTTCTTTAACTGTTTATCAATTATTTGATATTCTTAAATATAATCAACCATATTTAGAAGAGTTTGATTTATTTTGGTTCGATACACCTACTCGATATCGTCGAATAACAACTACAAAAAGTACAACCTATTTTAATGAATTAATTATCAAAATATTAACCAATTGTAAAAAGTTAAATAAACTCAAATTACAAATAACTCTGTCTTCCATTGCATTTCACCATTTATGTTTAAATATTTTAACTCAAAATTTATTACAAAAATTAAATTTATTCTCTGTAGATTTATCATTTTTGACTAAGAATCATCATTCATCTAATCAATTTCAAACTACGTTAAAATTATGTACGAATTTACAATATCTTATTTTGACATCGTGTACGATGGGAAATTTGGGTTTAAATGCAATACAAAATGCAATTGTTGATGGACGTTTTTCACCTATATATCTAGATATCAGAGAGAATCAATTGACATTTCAAACACTCATTGAATTTGGGCACAAACTAAAAATATTCTCTCTCAATCAACAAAATACAATTAGAATTTTACTGTTTTTAGAGACAAATTTTACCAGACATCAACAAGATATTTTAACAACCCTATTTAGTACATGTATACAATATTCTTCATCAAATTCTTCTTGAGTATAAAAGCAAAAAATTCACTGATATATGTCATAGTACTTGATAAGTTTGATCTATCGTCAGATCTCTAGTGATGATTTTATATAAAAATAAATCATAATAATTTCCTAAATATCAGCACTCCTGTTAACATATGATCCTAATCATGAAGTCTATGAAAGATGGATAAAAGATACAAGTAATTTTCCATCTTTCGTTTAAAATAGCTAAATATAAATAATGTCATCCGTCAACGTTTCCTCATGTAGAATATTTCTAGCATAGACCTATTTTTGCAATGTGAAATTTTTTCATGAATCCACAGGAACAATTAAATTACTAAGAAGAAAAGCTATATAAAACAAAATGAAAACTATCTGAACCAGTTCGTAAGGCCCGGTCTATGTGCGGTTATGTTCGCTTGTTTATTAGATAAATTTGCCATACGTTTTTCTTCTTGCACCAATTCTTCGTGTGGTTTTTTCTTTTTCCATAATTCAGGATATTGAAAAGTTTCATTTTTCTATTTTAAATTTAAAAGTTCGATGAGTACAAGTGTACAATAACACTAATAAAACAGCTACTTACAAGAAATACATAAGCATATTTTCTATCTGGATCAGGATCAATTATTTCCTCTGATATTGGATGACGTCCTTCTTTACCTGTGAGAATAAAATAGATGAGATTATTTTTAAGATGCAAGAAAGAGTAAATGTTAAATCTCAATTTCTGTCACCTGAATGATCCTACTATCTTCATTTTTCAACTTATTGAAAAATGTGGAGTAAATGTCCGATCGCGTTCAAATTCATACAAGAGACAATATCGTAAACGAAAATCGATGTATTTTTGCCGAGAATTTTCTAACATGCTTTTCTATGGATTTTATGGAAAACTTTGATTTTCACTAGGTATGCATCAGTACCGGTACCGGTACCAGTAAAAGTGCTCCACAAAAGTTTAAGACCTTTTTTGTTTTTGCAATAACTCAACTTCCTTGATAAATACAGGCTCCGTTCTTTCGCCAAAAGAAAGCCTACGTTG